CAGCAGTGCTGGGAGCCGTGGAGCTTGCTCATCGACCCAGAGGCCACAGGCAGAACAGGAAGGCGTGTCTGACGCAGTCAGAGCATAAGCAGCTTGTGGCCCGGCCGACCTCAGTGTTGAGGGGCCACAGTGGCCTTTGCAGCAAGTGCAGAGGTGGGGTGTGGCAGGGTGGGTGCTGCTGGAGCAGGGAGCCCAGCAACGGAGATGTAGGTAGCAGGTAGAGCCCTGCCTCCTGGGGAAGAGGGGGGAGTATGGAGACAAAGTCCTAACAAGGACTTGAGATGGGGGGTGCGCCCCTAGTGCCCCACCTCGACCGGCCCAGGTCACACTTTCTCAGCTAGTTCTCTGCCCAGACACACAGTGTCCTGAGCACACAGACCCTGGTTGTGCTTTATAAAGGGCCCAGAAGCCACTGTCCCCTGACAGACAGGTGCTCAGGGGGCTGAGAACTACATCAGGGTGTTGGCCTATGGTGGGGTGTCACCCAGGGAGCCAGTTTCCCTCCGGCTTTTCCTCGGTAGATCTGTGTGTGGCCCCGGGCCTCCCCCCGCAGCCTCGGTCAGACCTCTGTCGTTAGGGGTCTGTTTCCCGCCTGTGAAGTGGGGCTCGGGTCTGCTGGGGTGGGGGGACGTTGTGACCAGCTCTGCCCCCGCCCCCCCAGGCATCACTTGTGCCGCTCCCGGCATTACTGCCGCACGGCAGGCGACCGCGTGGAGACCCTGTATGCCCGGCTGGAGCGGCTGGTGCAGCAGGCCAGCCAGCAGGCTGACTCCTCCGTCGCCCTCTACCACTTCAACGCCTCCCTCTACCTGCTCCGTGTCCTGAGGGGCAGCACCGTGGACAAGTCCACCCGCAAGGCCCAGAAGAAGGAGAAAGCCAGCAAAGACGCCAGCTCCCAGCCCCAGGGCCCGGAGGTGAGCAGAGCTGGCCCGGGGAGGCTCGGCCTGAATGTCCAGCTCCGCTAAAGGGGAGCACGTCCCAGGAGGAGGTGGGGCAGTCAGTCTACCCGTTTCACAGACCAGGAGGTGAGGCCGCAGCTTCCCCGGGACCCAGCCTTCAACCTTCTGAAGGCAGCCCAGGCTGGGCTCCCGTGCCAGGCCCCCGCTCCTTGGCATCACACCAGCTCTCTCTGCCATGGCGCAGGCTGCCAGCTGCCTGGACTTGAGCCTTGTGACCCCGATCTACTCGTCAGCGCTGAGCTCCTTCCTGACCAAGCGTAACAGCCCCCTCACGGTCCCCATGTTCCTCAGCCTCTTCTCCCGGCACCCAGTGAGTATCGGGCGAGGCCGCCCCCTCGGGCCCCTGCTGGGCCCCATCCTCACTGCCCACCGTTTCCTCCACAGATGCTCTGTAAGAACCTGCTCCCCATCGTGGTCGAGCACCTGACAAGCCACACGCGGCCCCGCCATCAGGTAAGGCCTTCCCAGATTCCAGCCCCAGGTTTGTGTGCATTACCCGCTTGACTACGTCTGCTCAGCTGTTGGGGAGATTCAGGAATGCTGCCCTGGGGGTCAGGGTAGGGTGAGCCTGCCCCTCCAACCTGGCCAGTCCCCCCCAACCACGCCACTGTAGGCCCAGAGTAAGTGGGGGTGGGGGGGCACTTCCCACATGGCCTGAGTCCTCCGGCTCCTCAGATCACGCCCTGGCCTGACGGGTATGCCTGGGGGCCAGGGTAGGAAGAGGGAGGGGGCTGGAGAAAGATGTCCTGAGTTAGTAGGGGGCCAGGAACCGTGTCCAGCTGACCTCCCTGCTGCCCCCCTCGGCCTCAGGTCTCCCCACTACCTGAGAAGGGCGGGCAGGAGCAGGCGGTGGTGACAGCTGAGCCTAGAGCTCCGGTGATGACAGCCCAGGCGGGCTCGCGGGGGTCACCCAGCGTGCCAAGGCTCCTGGTGACCACGTTGCCCCCACCCCAGGTCCAGGCCTGCCTGCTGCTCCAGAAGACCCTGCCCACACGGGAGCTGCGCGTGTGCTTTAAGGACCCAGAGTGGAAGCAGCTGCTGGGCCAGACCCTGGGGAAGGTCACCGAGGTAACAGCCCTGGGCTCTCCTCCCCCACCGGCTGGCTATGGTCCTCAGGAACCCAGGGGTGAGGGTTGCTGGACCCTGCGCCTCGGGGTGGGTTTGGGGTTCCCCCAGGAGACGTTTCTTCCCCGGAGACCCTAGTCTCACGTGGGAGACGAGCTTCACGCAGCTTTCCAGAGTGGCTCAGCCCGGCCACCTTTTCCCCCAGACCCTGCGGACACTGGGCGAGGCTGAGACCAAGTCGGGGCACCAGAGGGAGCTGGCGGCCTTGGAGCTGCTCAACACTCTGTTCAGGAATTTCCATCACACGGTGAGCACTGGGCCCAGTGGGAGGTCGCCAGGCGGGCAGAGCGTGCAGTCTGAGCAGAGGCTGGGGGGCAGGTGGGACATCTGGGGAAGGATCTGGATGCCAGGGTGAGGAAACCAGGCTTTGTTTATTCGAGGCAGGCTACTGCTACAACCTGTGCTTGGCCAGGGTAGGGTGAGCTGGTGTGCCGTTGCCGTGCTCCAGTGAGAAAGCTGAGAAGGGGCTGGGAGGGCTGGCGACCGCGGGAGAACGTGCTGTTAGGTGGGAACCCCGGCTCCCAGACTTGCAGAGACGGAGCAGGGGTATGGCGTGTGAGATGCGTGAGGGCCACGGGGTGGCTGTGGGCAAGTCTGGTTCCCCCAGTCTGGCCCAGAGGGAAAGGTGTGGGGGTCCTTGGTGTAAACACTGATCAAAGCCCCAGTGCAGGGAACCTTCCAGGAGGGTGCCGCGGGGGCAGGTGCTAAGCAGCACCGAAAAGCCACACGCAGAGTGGTAGCAAAAAGCCAGGAGAAGGACCCATTCTGGAAGCCAGTGGCTTTCAAAAACACCCCACCCAGTACGTGACAGGGAAGGAGAGATGGGAAAAGGGCCTTTGGCAACCCCAGGGTCACTGCATGGTGCCCCCTGAGGTGGGTGGGCTTTGGGCCATGGAGGAGAGAACACACTTGGCAGCTCGGGCCCTTGTTTTCTCCCCGGGTGAGAGAGGCCAGGGAGGCGCAGGCTGAAGGGGTGGCTGAGGGTCCACACGGGTGGGCTCGCAGAGGCAGTGACGGCGAGGGTGGGAGGAGTGGCGCCGGGAGCTGGGAGAGGCCGTGCCTCTGCTCGCCACTGCAGCCACAGCCTTGCCCGCCTCTCCGCAGAAGCTGACCATGGACCTGACCGCTGTCCTGGGCGCGCTGCAGAGCCGGCAGCCGAGGCTGCAGCAGGGCCTGCAGCAGGGGGAGCACTCGGCCGGCTCCAGCCGCCTCCACGACCTCTATTGGCAGGCCATGAAGTTCCTCGGCGTCCAGTACGTTTCGGGGAGGGCGGGCGCTGGAGAGACCCTCATGTTGCATGCGCTCTGATATTCTCTCACCACGTTTCCTTACTCTGCTCACTTCCCCCTAGGCGCCCCAAGTCAGAGAAGGATTCCAGGGAGGCCCCTCAGGCCACACAGCAGAGCCCCGTTAGCATGAAGCGGAAGAAGAAGGGCTTCTTGCCAGAGACCAAGAAGCGCAAGAAACGTAAGCCGGAGGCCACCACGCAGGAGGAGGTGGCGGCCAAGCCTGAAGCCGCCAGTGGGGACCAGCCCCCCAGCACCGGCAAGAAGAAGAAGAAGAGGAAGAAGACGAAGAAGACCAAGTCCCCGGCCCAGCCCCAGGTGAATGGGACACCTGCCGCCAAGAGTCCGGCCCCAGAGCCCCCTGCGGTGAGCCCCAGCACCCCCGCCAAGACCCCAAAGCCACAGAAGAAAACCCAGAAGTTGTCCCAGGTGAACGAAGCCACTCCCCTGCCTCCTGAATCCCCCAAGGAGCCGGCTGCCAAAAAGCGTCAGAAGAAGCTGCCCCAGAAGGGAGTATCAGGCAAGTCGCCACAGTCCGCACTGCCTCGGAAAAAGGCCAGGTTGTCCTTGGCCAGCAGGAGCCCCAGCCTCCTCCAGAGCGGGGCCAAGAAGAAGGTGCAGCTGAGGAAGGCGAAAAAGCTCTGAGTGCCCCCTTCCACCCTGTTGTGCTCAATCCTTTCCGACTCCTTGCAACTCCATAGACCCACCAGGTTGCCTCTGTCCATGGGATTTTACAGACTAGGATACTGGAGTGGGTTGTAATCATTCCCTTCTCCAGGGGATCTTCCTGACCCAGGGATCGAACCCACAGCTCCTGCATTGCCTTTCCCACCACATCACCCTAGAGACTTTTTTTCACCATGATTTTAATAAACCAGCTACTGTCTAAGGTTCTACCTTCCGTCCTGGGGGTAGTGGGTCTACTGCAGCAGGCATGGCCTGAGAGACCCTAGCCCTAAGCTGGGCCCCGCTGCTGCTCTCAAGCACAGAACACCCTTGGGATCTTGGCTCCCAGATGCTGTGGGCCAGGCCCAGGGCTCTGGTGTCTATGTGGGTTGAGTACAAGTGTGATCACACCTCGTGACCCCCGCCCCCACCCCTCCAGGCTGCTTTGCTGCGGGAGCCACCAGGGCATGACTTAAATAGCTTTATTTCTTCATTTACAAGAGGAATATATTTGGCTTCTCTCTTAAGACTCTTGAGATTCACAATCAGCAGCTCTAAAAAATAAAGGAGCAGTTTGGCTTCCGGAAGGAAGAGGAAGCAGCACTTGGACCTGGTTCTTGTACAACAAGAAAACATAGCTGGGGCCCCGGGCTGAGGCCGGGGTGGGAGTGGAGGCCAGGCTGGTCTTCGGGGGAGCCCCACCCCCTGGTTAAGCCCCCCTCCCAGGGTACCCCAGAGCTTGGTGGGGAGTGGGTGCTCCACCAACTTACCCACCCCTGAAGCCACGCCAACCAGCAACTTGAGCGGAGAGCACTAAGCTGGCTGGCTCTTAGGATCTCCTGCCAGCCCCACGGGACCCACCAGACCAGCACCACCTTGATGTGGTGGGGAGGGAGCGTGTGGAGCAGAGGGGACAAGCGGGGGCCGGGGGGGGGGGG